CCTGCATAATCAATAAATCCTTCAAAAAGAACAGAAAAGGAAACAAGAGAACAAAATAAAATGATAAAAAAAGAATATGCTAGATGGCCATCATGCAAGAAAAATGTAAAAGTGCAGGCAGTAATTTCCCTGATACTTTTTGACAAACCACACAATTAAAAACTTCTCCAGCCCGATTATTCTAATGTAAGTCGGAAACTTTACACCAAAGTACAAAAAGAGACAAACCACGTAAACTTTGATTAGTAGTTCTTATTCGAGCTTTGTCTTAAAATTTTAACATCACACTAAATGAAATTCAAAGTAAACAAGTATGAAAGCAAAATATCATCTAGTTTCCAGTACCAGAAATTAGCATCTTTCAAGTGTTTCATATACCTTTCTAATTTTCACTATCTGGGGGTGTGGTAAATGACCAATAGAGGTTGATGCAATAGATTTTCATTTTAACAACTTCGGCAATACTTTAACATCACTAGATGAAAATGATACCTACGGCATTTGTGGTCCCATAAAGTTTTTTTTTTCACTTCCTATTTTAGAGAGAGAAATGAGAGATGTTGGGTGTTGACTAGATAGCTAAAATTAAAAAACCAAAAAGCATATGATATTGATTTTAGTTTTTATTTTAAAAACTATTTTATGTCCTCTCTCCCTCAGCTTTCACCTCTTTTCTCTAATCTCATCTTCATCTGCCTCCTCTCTCTTTAATTGTAAAAAAGAAAAATATGACATGCAGATTATCAGTCAGATCCTAAACAACATAGACTTTGGAGACTTTAAATTATGCAAATTTCCATCCTAGAGATAAGAGAATTCTTGTTCATTTATTATCAACTACACTTCTCATAAAATTTGGTACTTTTCCATTCAAGTTGGTGAAGCGAGATTCTTCCCAGAAAATAATTCAATAGAACGATGAAGTAAGCTAAAGAAGGTTTCAAGGCCTGACCCAATCAACCTATATGATAACTAAAATAAATTTCAGGAAGAGACAATAAGAGTAAAGAGTGAACAAAACCCAACAAAATAGAAAGAAAAAAAAATGTTCAACCACATCCGAATACGTTAACCGCAACAGACCACAACAAACTCCATCTCTGGACAAAATTTATGAAAAACCCAGAAAACCCACATCTCTTAAATGTCATAGAATCAGGCAAGGAACCATCAAATGCATCCAGTAGGAATTTATTTATTTATTTTGGTGAAGAGGGAGGCCGAGGCGATAGAAAGAAAAATTAACATCATCCAATAGGAAAACTTTAAGAAATAAAGCTAGAGAGAATCGAACCAATAATTTTAAAATGACCAATGCAGATATCCCAGGTATAACCGGAAAACGAAAGCAATATGAGTTAAAGAAGAAAATCAGAAAACTTACAGAGCAGGACAGAGAGACAATGAGTTGAGCTTGAGCCTAGCCAAAACAGAGAGAGAGAAAAACAAGGATAAGTGCGGGGCTTGTTTGTATCAAAAGCCGTTGCGCAAGTGCAGAGGTGGCAGCGGGACCGTGCCCAATGACTGACACGTTCTCAGTGAAAGATATATATTAGGGCCATTCATTTGTTTTCTTGCGAGGACATACATATAATTAAATTTGGAAGTGTCCATTTGAAATTGATTGCTGCTAAAACGAATCTTAAAATTAATTGAGTATACTCTATAATATAAGTACACCGTAATATTTTAATTAAAATGTCAAATTAACTAATTACACCTTATTGAACTACCAAAAATATCCCTAATAGCCCCTAAACCCTCGACATTGATAACAACCAAGTCAAAAGCACCCTTCTAAAAGTTGTCCAAGGCTAGCTTCATCTGCTCCAAGCGATTCTGACTCGCAGATCACAAAGATGGACACCAAGTAATTTCTTGATTAGAGTTGAATATTGTTAGTAGGGTGTACTTATTCAAATTATATTTGTTTCACAATTCCATATATCATTTTTGGTCATTTTATATTAGAGTAAATCAGTAATTCAATATATACTTTTGTAGTAGGGTGTACTCAGTTAATTTTAGGGTTCATTTAGCAGCACTCTTGAAGTTTTGCTTTCAAAAGGAAATTGAACGGATCGCAAGCCTAAAATTTTCACTATATAAAAAAAGGCTAGTAATTCAAGTAGTTAAAGAGTATTTATTTTTCGGACATATGAATCTTATTTATATCGCAAGCCTTAAAATAAAGATATTCTAAATAGTAACTCAAGTGACTAAAAGCATTTACCTCTGTACCTAAAGTCAATTCGATTGTAATTCCTACGCAAGTTGCATGCAAATTTTTATGAAATCTTATCAAATGACCACACTTGACAAAAAGATGACCGACACTTAAAAGTTTCCCTTTAAATATGGGTCTCCTATATAAATCAAGAAACAAATTGGGCTTCATTCTATAAATAACCCAGACCCGAAGCATGTCATTTTCTAATAAACTCATACCATCCATATTTTGGCTGTGATGAAATCAGCCCCGAACACTATTTTATCTTTTTTATATTAAATTGCTGTCTCGAAGCATTTTAATGCAAAAGTATTTGACAGATATACATATATATATATATGTGTTATAAATAATTTTTTTATTAATGCAAGTCATATTGAGTAAGGGGGGAATCGAGCTCGACTTAGTCGCCAGAAGGTGTATTCTTATTCAAGTGAGGTTAGGGATTGGTATGTATAAAGAAGAGTCCAATACACTTCAATGACGAATATCCTGAAAGTCCTTATGAGGTGTGAATAAGGAAATGTATATGATACCAAGGAAACCCTTTTAATGTCTTTAATAGGTGGATTTAATTAGGGTTTTGTATCAACATAAAAGGAGGTCCCTGCTCTCTTAGTAAGTGTCCTTCAAAACATCTAGTCCCTATTGTTGGTTGAACATAAGGAATCTACAAAGAGTAGACTTTCTTTTGAACTTTTTATCAATGACATCTTTAGGTATGTACTGTTGCTATTAATATTTTGTTGTGTTTTGATAGTTTTTCTTCTTGATGTGATTCTAAGTGTGTATGCCTAAAGAATTTATGTAATAAGTTTACAGAGATGGCTTTCAATTTGTAACATCCTCCACAAAAGGGTATTCGTCTAATTCTCCTAAATATAGTTTATGATCTTCTCAAATGTTCTGCAATTTTCTGAATTCATTTTTACTATATATAGTTATATACCTTGGCGAATGAATGGAGAAAAAATAGGCTCTCAACATGCATGAATTTTTAAGCAGAACTTCAAGTCGCACGCAGTGCCATGATGGAAAAAATGGCCTCTTTTATAGCTAGGAGTGCATGTAGAGGGGCTAGTTATATAATTAATAAGTCATTTTGTTTGTAAAGTATCACACTTAGCATATAAACGGTCCTCCTTGTGATCAAAATGGTGATTTTTCCTGCTCCGTTTGGATGAAGGAATTGCAAATTACATGGAATTCTAAAATGACAGAATTTAGATTTCCTTCATTTACATTTCTGGCAATTGAAGATTTCAGTGTTTGGATTTATATATGTGGAATTTTGTAAATGACAGAAATTGAAAATTTCAATGTTTGGATAACTCATGTGAATTATAAATGACAAATTAAATATTTAGAAAGAACAAAAAAACTGATAACCGACATAGAAGTTATTCCTCGAAGTATAAAATAACATATCGTTTGATGAACTAAATAACTCAACTTAAACAAACAAAGCATAATAGCAAACCAAATCATTCCCCACGTGCAATAAACATCAGCAACATACTCTTTTTTTTTTCTTTTTTTTTTCTCAATAATTGGGAGTGACTTCAGCATCTGAAATTGTTTGTCATTTTCTATTAGCCAAGCACATGCTTTGAGTTGTTCATTTCCACTAAGACCTGGTACTGCTTGTACTTCAGCATATACCTCTGCTTGATCAAGGTTCTTAGCATCAGCACAGATAAACTCTTCAAATGATAAAGCCATTCTAGCAATTGAATCCGCAATAACATCTTTGACAGAACCTCTTTTCTTTGTAGGAAGAATATCATAAGAATTTGATGCACGATTTCTTCTCTTTTGACCATTTGTTGAGTTTGGTGAAATATCATCAATAACATGAATATCTTCTAAATCTTGTGTATCGCCATCTAAATCATCATGATCAACTTCATTAGTAGGATTCATAACCTCAGTTGTATCCAAATCCAAGAGATATATAGACTCAGCACTTGACTTCTAAGAGTACAACTTTTCATATAAATAAGAGACATTGGAACTTTGTAGGAACGTATACAACTGACAAGTTTTTTTTATCCTTAATTTTGCAGACAATGCATTGCTATCATGTACGTCGTTTTCCTCCCAATTTGATGCGGACCTTCAATTTTAGTCGTCCAGGACCAGGAGATCGTGCAGCTAGGAGGGACAGAAAATTGTTGGAATATTGATTCAACCTATGCACACTCACAAACTTTAGCTGCACAATCTATCAAGCGTTAAGATTAAACAATAGAATGCAGAGGAATAAAAAACTGAACATCTTTTGCTCCTAGAGACTAGAGAGCACTCTGCCGAAAGCAATACAAAATTAGCTACAGTTAGCATGACTTTTTTTTTGTTGGTCAACGTGAAATTCATTAGATAATGAAATTATGGTAGATAGCCAAATGACAAAGGATTACAAACACAATCCCATAGCAAAAGGCCCAACCACACACAATAAACAAGATCCAACAAAATGAAAAAAGTAACAAACAAAAGCCCAACAAAACAAACAAACATAAAAAACCCTAGCCACCACCACATGGAAAGAGAGCCACATCTGCACCAGAACCGAAGGAACCCAGCAACTCCACCATCATGATAACACGGGCAATAAACAAAACATATCGTACATAAAGTGAATAAATTATTAAAGTGGCTTTGAATTCGGTGGGCTTGGTTTAACTTTCAACATATCTTTCCACTTTATCCCAAATTTCTCTCCAAGGCACTCTTTTTGTGGACTGAAACGTTCGAAGAGCTTGACTTGACTTGGGTGTTTCAGTATTATACCTTTGCTGCAACACACAACCACTGCCAAGAAAAAATAATCACGAAACAGGTCGTTCAGTTCAACTTTTGCCATTTTCTAGTGGTGATCAGAGCAGCTGCAGAATTCAAGCTCATGGGTTCCAGGGCAGCGCGTGAAGACTCCTCAATTCAATGGAAATACCACATATTCTTGAGCTTCAGAGGTGAAGACACGCGAAATGGCTTCACGTCCCTCCTTCACAAGGCATTACAAAGCTGGGAATACGAAGTTTTTATGGACGAGAACGATCTAAAAATCGGGCAAGATATAAAACCAGAACTGTTGCAGGCAATCGAAAAGTCCAAGATGTCTGTAATTGTCTTCTCAACGAGGTATGCAGATTCCAGTTGGTGTCTTCATGAGCTGGTGAAGATCATGGAGTGTAGAAGAACACTGAATCAAATCGTTTTGCCAATATTCTACAACGTGGATCCTTCAGACTTCAGGCATCAGACTGGTACTTTGGCATCTGATTTTCAGGAACATGCCATCCGACATAAAGATGAGGTGGTAAAGGAGTGGAGAAAGGCTCTTACTGAAGCTGCGAATTTGTGTGCCGCGGTTCTCGAAGACACTGCGGACAGGTAATCAGTGATTTCCTTGGAATATGATCTCCTTAATTACCTGATTACTGGAATACAAAGGCCCCTTTTTAGTTTTCAATTTTCATTTCACTTTTTTGAAAATTGAAACCGAAACTATGTTTGGTAACAATTTTCGTCTTCTGTTTTTATTTTTTATTTTTTTGTTGTTTTAATAAATGAAAACTAGTTTTCAAAATCACCTTTATTTTTTAAAACAAGTTTAAAGTGTTATATATTTTTTTTTTGTTGCAGTTTTCGTTTTAATTTTTTGTCGCCCTTTCTTTTTCACTAAATTTACATTATCAAACATACATTGCACTTTAATAAATAAATAAAAACATACATTACACTCCAGTTCCGACTTTTAAATATACTTTTAAACAATTTTCCATTTAAAAAAAAAAAACTAAAATTAGTTATCAAACAACTTTCTTGTTCAGTATTTCTTTGTCGCCCATATTTTTATTAGGAGACTTTTACTATACGCATATATTAATACTACTTATTAGTTCAGTATTGATGAAAGCTACTATGATAGGATTTATGTGTATAGTTTTAGTACATATATATCTTTATGTTTAGAAACTTATATGCAGATCTCTACAAAATATGAGTTCTTTTGGTAATTACCAAATTTGGTAAAAAAATTTTAGTGATTCATAAAAATTGGGTGGATTTTGGTACTTTACAAAACCAAATACATTTTGAGTGATACTTTTAAGTTTGAAAACATGAAAGAAAAAATTGTCTCGGAAATCGGTCAATTTGGCAAAATCGGGTACATCATGATATGTTTGTGTATATGTTCTATAGGTAATAATTTGATCTAGATTCATGATGATATGTTTTAACTTTCTAGTGATCTAGATTCATAAAATTTTAAATTATTTGGTGATTAAGATTTTATGGGAGAAAAACATTGTCGGGAATATATATTTTAGCTATTTAGTGCTCGTGTTAAATTCTCCTTCTTTTTAGCATATATGGACTTAGCCAAATTGGTAAAAATAGATATGCTCCTCACTTTGGACCTGAGTTCAAATCCCCCACCTCGTAGTTTAGATAAGATTAAAGTAAAATATCGTTTGCATAATAAAAAATATAATCAAGATGTTATCATACTTAAAGAGTAAATTGCATAATTGCCCCTGAAATATCACCCAATTTTCGAATTCCACTTGTACTTTTATTTAGTCAATGAAGAATACAAATGAATTTTTTTTGGTCAATGTCCCCCGTATTGTTAAATTCCTTAACATTCCATCCACTTCTCGGTCAAGACTTGTCATTTCCTATGTACTTATTTCAAAGAAAAATAAAACTAATCATGAAAGTTAAAAGCAAAAAAAAAACATACGCAGCACCCATAGGGGTGTACATCGGTTCGAAACCAATACAATTAAGTCAATCCGCATCCGATCTAATATAGATCGGATTGTGATTTTTTCAATCCAATCCCATCATATTAGATGTTTAAATCCAATCCGATCTAATTGATATTTGATTGGATGATCGGTCTTGATAATGAAAAAAATATAATAATATAATAATAAATCTTTATCCTTAGGTTTAATCTAATCAAACATATTAATAGACGTAAATGTAAAATATAAATGAAATACTAGAGAAAATTGTTTTGATTATACAATATATTAAATATAACTCCATTAAATGATTTAAAATATTCATAGGCACATAATTTTCCCACTCCCCTTTTGTCCACTTAATTTTTAATAGTTTTTACTATAACAAAAATACTTATTTTTTTCACATACCCCTTGAGTGTATTTGAGTCTCACTTTGCCCCTGAAACTCTTTTTGTGACACTTTTTTATTTCACACAAACTTTTCTCACTTTACCCCATTTTTCACAAAATATTAATTAAAAATTGAAATTGAAATTTTAAAACTTAAAATCCATAAAACATTTGTAAAGAAAATTAATATTTTAGAAAATATAAGGTTAAAACAAAAACAAAAACTACATCCCAACCCCTGCCCCTGCCCCTCCACCTCCCCATCCGTCTCCCCCCACCCCTCCTCCCTCCCCCCCCCCTCCTTTTACTCGTTTCTTTTTTTGGTTCAGCATCCTTGGAGTCTTTACTGTGCTCCCTGCGCCCTGTTGAGTTTGATATTTTAGACTCTTTTTTGGCTTTGTTTCTCCTGATCAAACCAAAACATTGAAATCCAATTCAAAACCATACAGAAAAGCAATTAGTTTCGGTGAGAAAAAGGGGAATTTTGAATTGTTGCAGAGATAGGAAGAAAACACAAAATAGAAAAGCATGTAAAAGGGACCAATAAATATAAGAGCATGTAGCAGAGACAAAAAAAGAGAGAGAAGAGCATGTAATCAAACAAATCCGGAATTCAGGTCTTGAAACATGATTTCTTTTTTATCCAGCAAAACAACAAATAAGAATCTTTTTTTAAACCACCCACTCTTCAAACAATTGATGTGGGAGGATAGGTTTTTTTTTCTCTTGGAGAAAGTAAAACTTGTTGACAGGTAAGATTTTGAGGCAGAGACGCAGGAAGAAGGAAACTTTAGCGTTAGTTGAGTTAGGGCTTTTCTTTTTACTTTTTAAATTATTTGTAAATTGGGTTTTTGTTTTAAAGATGATGTGTCAAACTTTAATCTCTTAGATTAAATTTTAATGAGGTGGCATGTGGAGCACAAAAATCAAGCAAATCATGGGAGAGAAAATCAAAGAAGAGAATCCGAATCTTATTGTAAGACCTGTGTCTTGAGGAAACAAGAACAACGAGCAATCCCACATCACTCGGGAAGGGAAAGGTGAAGTGCCTTATATGTGTGGGCACTTCTCTTCCTAACAAAAGGCCTTTTGGGCAAGATAGCATTAGCTTGAATCCAATAACAAAACCTCGGGGGAAGGCCCAAAGCGGTCAATATCGTTTGTATAAAAATACTAATAATGATAATTGAGACCTAACATAAGTGCAAATAAATAGAAAGTTGACATGTAGAAATCTAATGTTTCATCATAATGAGTCTTTTGTTTTGCTTCCGAATTCAATTTTCAGGAATGAAGAAAAGTTTATCGAGGAATTTATTGAGAATAATATTATCAGACGGCTTTCCACAACTCCCCTACCAGTAGCCGATCACCCGGTTGGAGTCGACTCTCGTGTACATGATATGATCAATTATCTTTTAGGTGGTGGATCACAAAATGTTGTCATGATTGGAATTTGGGGGATGCCCGGACTGGGCAAAACAACAGCTGCGAAGGCCATTTATAATCAAATTAAGGATAAATTCGAAGCTCATGGTTTCCTTGGAGACATTAGGGACACTGCAAATAGACATGGTCTTGTTTATTTGCAACAACTACTTCTTGCTGAAATCAACAAGAAACCGACCAAATTTCACATAAGTTGTGTTGATGGAGGGAAGGTTGTGATAAAAAAAGAACTCAAATGTAAAAGAGTACTTGTAATTATCGACGATGTAGATGAAAACGAGCAACTCGAAGCAATAGCTGGAAGTCGTGATTGGTTTGGCTCTGGAAGTAGAATTATAATAACTACTAGAGATAGACAATTTCTAAACGTACCTCATGTGAATGAAACTTTCACGGTTCCAGAAATGAATCCAGATGAAGGTCTTGAGCTCTTTCGTCGACATGCCTTTGAAAATGGTTATCCTAATCACCGATATCTTGAACTCTCAGAAAAGGCAGTTCTTTATAGTGGAGGTTTGCCACTGGCACTTAAAGTTTTAGGCTCTTTCTTGTTTAGAAAAAGCATAGAAGTTTGGGAAAGCCAATTGCAGGAATTGGAAGAAATCCCTCCTAAAGATATTCTAAAAAAACTGAGAATAAGCTATGACGGTCTAGATCATAATGAGAAGTGTATATTCCTTGATATATCTTGTTTCTTCATTGGAATGAACAAAGACCATGTCAGAAAAATATTAGATGGATGTGGTTTTAAAGCAGAAATAAAAATCAGTGTCCTCCTTCAGCGGTGCCTTGTTACTGTTAATGAAAAGAACCAGCTAATGATGCATAATTTACTTCGAGACATGGGCAGAGCAATCAGTCAAGAAGATGACAAAGAACACGGGCGTAGATTGTGGCTCCATGAAGATGTGACAGGTGTATTGGAAGACGAATCTGTAAGTACTTTTTCAATAAAAGTTTAGCATGCATCATACAAGAGAGAAGCCTATGTATGCGTAATATAGTTGGTTTTCCAACCCCTAATAGATAGAATTCCCTGCATGTGTACGTAATATAGTCGTTCTCAGTCAGGCAAAATCAACCAAACTATATGTTTTGCCAACCAAACTTCATGTGTACGTACTATTATAGCTTTTGTTAACAAACCTGTGGATAAAGAATTCGGTTAACACTTGCAATTTTCATGTGTGTAAATCATTTGCCAACAATGTTTTTCTTACTGAGTGCCTTTTTTTAATAGGGAACTACAAGAGTTGAAGGACTTGCTCTAAATCTGCGAAGCTCGGAAAAGGCTAGTTTCAGTACTGAAGCATTTAGCAAAATGAGCAAACTGAAATTGCTCCAGCTCAACTATGTAGAGCTCACCGGAGAGTACAAATTTCTTTCCAAAAATTTAAGATGGTTGTGCTGGCATGGATTCCTTTTAGATTCGATACCGGGCGACTTTGATCTAACAAAGCTGGTTGCTATGGACCTGCAGTTTAGCAAACTCAAAATTGTTTGGAAGGATTGCAAGGTAAGTTGGAGAACTAAGCCAAATGTGCATTATTATTGCATTCAAGAAGTTTCAATATTGAGTCTTTTTTTATTCTGTTATTTAATCAGTTATTTTATTAGCAGGATGATGAGAGTGGGTTTTAGGTCATGATAAGAGAAGTCTTTTAAATAGGTCTTTTATCAATGTTATTCGTTGAAATAAATTAAAATGAAATAGCATATTCTCTCAAGAAATTAGTGTCTATTTGTGTTGTGTATTTCTCTCCCTCCTACAAAGTATAATAATCTCAACCGAGTTTGTTAGTTTTTTCTGTCTGATTTTATACATACATTATGTTCACTTTCTCTTCTTTTTGCATATGTTTTTATCAGACCTTTTCGGATTTTAATTTCCATTTTAATCTTGTTTTTGTGTAACAGTCGCTTCAGAAGTTGAGAATCATTAATCTGAGTCATTCTTCTGATCTAACAACATCACCAGACTTTTCAGAAGTCCCAAATCTCGAGGAGTTGATATTGGAATATACGAGTTTGTCTGATGTCCATGAATCCATTGGTGATCTCAAAAGACTTGCTTTTGTAAATCTTGAACACTGCAAAATGCTTAAAGATCTCCCCCTGAATTTATATAGATCCAAGTCTATTGAAACTCTTCTACTTAATGGTTGTTCAAGATTTGAAAACTTGGCTGAGGGCTTAGGGGACATGGTATCATTGAGAACACTGGAAGCAGACGATACAGCTATAACAAAAATACCATCTTCCATAGTAAAATTGAAGAACCTGAGATCTGTATCTCTATGTGGTTTGGAACGGTTAACTGGCTTTTTGCCACATTCTTACCTGAGTTCAACTGGTTTTTTGCCCCCTTTGTTAGATGGCTTAAACTCTTTAAGAAAATTAGCTCTTGCAAACTGCAGTTTAACTGATGATGCACTCCCTAAGGATCTCAGGAGCCTAAGTTCCTTAGAACATTTAGATTGTGGACAAAATTCTTTTTCTAGACTACCAAGTCTAAGTGGTCTTTCAAAGCTGGAATATTTGTGTTTAAATGACTGCAGAGCACTTCGGGCAATCCCAGAATTACCTACAAATCTGAAAGTTCTGAGAGGGTTTGGCTGCACAGCATTGGAAACAATGCCAGATTTTTCAGAAATGTCAAGTATAAGAGAACTGTATTTATCTGATTCGAACAAACTCACTGAGATTCCTGGCTTGGATAAGTCATTAAACTCCGTGACAAGGATTCATATGGAAGGCTGCACCAATCTCACCGCCAGTTTCAGAAAGAAGATCCTACAGGTCAACCCTTCTCTCTCTCGCTCTCCCTCACACACACACACACAGACAGATGCACATCCACGTCCACCGCATGCATGTTGAGATTTCAATAGCAGAGTTTTGCTTGGGAAAGAAGAATATGGAAAAAGTTGCAGAGAATAAGAGAGACGTTGTGAGAGAGAGAGAGTTTCTTACCGAGCACTCATAATTGGAATGCACACACTTCTCCTCTGATTTCATTCTAACGAAAACATTCCTTTTACAAGGCAGAGAATGTTATCTCAGCCATACAATTGTGTCAGCATTATGAGCTAGACATTTGGCACAAATCTAGGACATATAAGACCTATACTCTATGATTGAATCTAAAAGCCCTGCACATGTTTAACTAATTAAGGATTAAACAAGGAAATAATTTACATTTCAACAATGTATACACATGAACGAATACGAATATACTTACACAAATTTGGCTCTACATGGTATAGGGATGGACTTCTTGCGGATTTGGAGGCATTTATCTTGAAGGGATTTATCGTATTCCTAAGTTGTTCAAGTTGGTCGGTAATGAGTACAATGAAGTGGATTTTGAAGTGCCCGAAAAGTTAGGTTATGATTTAAAAGGGTTAACGTTGTGTTGCGTTTACTCTTCAGACAACCCAAAACAAAAAGATGGTCTTGGCATTATGGTTAGAAATGAAACGCAAGGAACTACTTTGCACACCTGGCCAGCAATTGCCTCGGTAAAAACAGACAGTAAACCTGAAGATGATTATCTTTGGCAGGGACAACTATCGAACGATAGGCTCAGTTTGCAAGTTGGGGACAAAGTCTTGCTTTCTGTATTTGCTACAGTTCATTTTGTGAGAGTGAAGAATGCAGCGGTCAATCTAGAATGGGACAAAGTTATGAAGGAAAATATGCATGATTCGGATCCTCATCTATATAATTTTGACCCAAATCCTGATTGGTTGTCGAGAACTCCAGATGAGGCAGGACCAAGCCAAGGCGAACCATTAAGAGAATCAGTTCTTGCAAGTTGCAATTTAACTGATACTGGAATCTACGACGATTATTCGGCCTCAGTCGTTGGAATTACTTCTCGGGTCCGGGATTTGAGTGATCATTTTGAAAAATCAGGTTCTACAGATGTTCGCATGATTGGTATTTCGGGGATGGCTGGCATTGGAAAAACAACGCTTGCCAAAGCCATTTTTAACAAATTTGAACGTATCTTCGAGGGTAAGAGTTTCCTTGCAAACGTGAGGGAAGTTGCACACTATCCTTATGGTCTGGTTCATTTGCAAGAACTACTTCTAAATGGTATCTTGGAAAGCAAGGACCCCATAAAGGTTGGCTCTGTTGCTAAAGGGATCGATATGATAAGAGAAAGACTTTGCCGTAAAAGAGCACTTGTCATAATTGACGATGCAGATGATCTACAGCAACTAAAAGCAATAGCTGGAGCTCGTGATTGGTTTGGTCCTGGAAGCAGAATTGTTATAACCACAAGAAATCAACATTTGCTAGACCAAGTTGGGGTGGATAGCACATATATGGCTCAAGCAATGAATGAAAAAGAAGCTCTAGTGCTCTTTAGTTGGCATGCCTTCAGAAGTGGTTATCCTAATCAAAAATATCTTGACCTCTCAAAACGCGCAATTCGTTACTGTCAAGGCTTGCCACTAGCACTTGAAGTTGTAGGGTCTTTTCTGTTTACAAGATCCATACTGGAGTGGGAAAGCGACATGAAGAGATTGGAAAGAAGTCCTGGTGGAGGGATTCAAGACGTACTCAGAATATCTTTTGATGGGCTACCTGATGATAAAATGAGAAAGATATTCCTTGATATATCTTGTTTCTTTATAGGAATGGACAAGGACTATGTAACACAAATATTAGATGGATGTGGCTATTTTGCAACGATAGGAATCAATATCCTCATTAAACGGTTCCTTGTAACTGTTAGTGAGCAAAACAAGCTGATGGTGCATGATTTTTTTCGAGAGATGGGAAGAGAGATAGTTCGTGCAAATGCCCGCGGTCTTCCCAAAAAATTTAGTAGATTGTGGGAACGTGAAGCCGTAACAAATGTATTGAGCGATGAATCTGTAAGTACTTTCCTAGTAAAGTTTTAGAATATGCACCATGCAAGAGAAGCATATGTATCCCGTGTCTATAATAAATTAAAATGTCATTTTCCATTTCTTTTTTGTTTAGTACAAGAGATAGTCTAAGCCAAAGCAAAGTGGGAGAGGGATTTCTTACACACATCCACACTACCAAGGTGCCATACGAATTTGAACCTGAGATCTTAGTATGCAAGTTTAGACTATTTTTCACTTTGCTAGACCCCGTTATCATTTCTTATGTTATATCCATTAAGATCAAAGCTCAATTAGGCATAACCAACAAAAAATATGTGCATTAGTTGCATACACAAACTATAAGGCGTGGTCCAATACTATTAATTTTACCTTTTGGTTAATACATACACGGATTTTCATGTTTGTAAATCATTTTTCTAACTCAGTATCTTTCGTTAACAGGGAACTGAAAAAATTGAAGGAGTTGCTCTAGATTTGGATCTAGATTGGGATCTAGATTCAGATCTAGATTCGACTAGATTCAGTGCACAAGCATTTACCAAGATGGAAAAACTGAGGTTACTCCACCTTAGCAGAGTAGAGCTCACTGGAGAGTACAAAGAATTTCCCAAAAAGTTAAGATGGTTGTGCTGGCATTATTTTCCTTTAGAGTCCATACCAGATGACTTTCCTATACAACCAAAACTAGTTGCTTTAGACCTGCAATATAGCAAACTCAAAATAGTTTGGAAGGATCGCAAGGTATTATAATCTCAACCTAGTTGTTGTCGGTTCTTTCCTTCTGGTTCTATACATATATTATACTTCACCTTCTCTTCATTTTGGTTTAATTTTGTTTTTGTGTAACAGTTGCATCAGAATTTGAAAATCCTTAATCTCAGCCATTCCCATAGTCTAACAAAATCACCAGACTTTTCAGAACTCCCAAATCTCAAGGAATTGATATTGCAGTTCTGTTGGAGTTTGTTTGAGGTTCACTCATCCATCGGGGATCTTAGAAGACTTTCTTTGGTAAATCTTGAAGGCTGCGACATGCTAAAGATTCTCCCACTGAATTTCTATAGATCCAAGTCTATTGAAATTCTTCTACTTAATGGTTGTTCAAGTTTTGAAAAGTTGGGTGAAAACTTAGGGGACATGGTATCATTGACAAATTTGAAAGCAGATAGGACAGCCATCAGACAAATTCCATCTTCCATAGTAAAATTGAAGAAGTTCAGAGTTTTATCTCTATCTGGTGAGAATTTTGAAATTCTATCTTTTACTCCTTTCGTTACATGGCTTAAACTCTTTAATAAAGTTATGTCTTGCAGGCTGCTGGTCGTTAATTAAGGATGCAATCCCTAAGGATCTATGTAGCCTAGAACATCTGCTTCTTGGAGACAATGAATTTCGTAGCCTGCCAAGTCTCGCTGGTCTTTCAAAGCTCGAGGTCTTGTGTTTAAATGCATGCAAAAAACTTCTTGCAATCCCAGATTTACCAACCAATTTGTATGTTCTGAAAGCAATTGACTGCCCAGAATTGAAAAAAATTCCAGATTTTTCAAAGATGTCGAATATGAGAGAATTGTATCTCTGTGATTCGGTCAAACTCACTGAGGTTCCAGGCTTGGGTAAGTCATTAAACTCCATGACAAGGATTCATATGGAAGGCTGCACCAATCTCACTTCTGAGTTTAGGAAGAACATCCTACAGGTCAATCTCTTTCTCTCTCTATCACACACAGACGCACATGATATACGCACGTGCACTTGCGTGCACTTGAATAAGAACGTAATGCTTACACAAATCTTGCTCTACATGATATAGGGATGGACTTCTTCCGGATATGGTGGAATTTATTTGAATGGAATTTATGATATTCCTGAGTGGTTCGAGTTCTACGATGTGGACAATATCGTCTTTGAAGTTCCTCAAAGAATCATGGGTCGTGATTTAAAGGGGTTGACTATATGCTTCGTTTATTCTTCAGACAGCCCAGTGCTTGATAGCATTTGCATTATCGTTAGAAATCTTACCAAACAAACTGCTTTGAACACCAAGATAGCATCTGGCTCGGTAAAAATTTGGAGTGAATCTAAAGATGGTTATCTTTGGCAGGGACAGTTGTCAAACGATGTGCTCCATTTGCAAGGCGGGGACCAAGTCTCCATTCTTGTAAGGCCTGATGATGTTGATTTTGTGAGAGTGAAGAAGACAGGGGTTCATCTAGAATGGGACAAGTTCATGAACGAAAATACGGATAATGCGGATCCTCATTTGTATGATTTTGGAAAAAATCAGGATTTTTCAGGGGGAGTTGATGAGTCCATTTCAAGAAACAGAGAGAACAAGGGAAGAAAATCAAGGAGGAGGAGGATATGATCGTTTGATTATGTTTATACAACTGAGGTTGCTGATACCAACATATTCAGAGAAGTATGAGGAAGAGACCTGAAGAAAAAGGAAAGAGAGAGAAACTGCAATCTTGATTTCTGTGTTTCTTAATCTTTTAAGCTACAGCACTATTACACTTTATACAGCTCTCTAACTAATTCACATACACTATTAACAACTCACGTACGTGCGCTTTAAGTAGACCATCCCGTTTTCTGGGCTGTGGTTGTAACCGCCTGTGCCGATATTCTACGATATGGAGGCTAAAGATGTGAGGAATCAGACTGTTTTTCTTTGGCAGGGATAATTGTCAAACGATGTGCTACGTTTGCAAGGCGGTGACCAAGTCTCCATTCTTGTAAGGCCTGATGATGTTGATTTTGTGAGAGTGAAGAAGACGGGTTCATCTAGAATGGGACAAAGTCATGAAGGAAAATATGGATAATCCAGGTCCTCATTTGTATGATTTGGAAACAAATCGGGATTTTTCAGGGGGAGTTGACGACGCATTTGTTCCGAATCAAACTAGTGCTATACATGAATGATTAGCAGTGGAACCATATCTGGATTTTTTTGGGGGAACTGATACAGGACGTAGCCATGCCGCATCTGTTCCCCGAGATCAAATGAGTGCTTTAGTTGAAGAATAAGCAGTGGAAGACGATCCTTTTGGCCCAGGCGGATGATGGAGCAGGACGGAGCCGTGATGCATTTATTCGCACTAATCAATCGAGTGTTGTGGACCACAGTAATATCAGAAACAAAAAGAACGTAACAGTGGACCAGTCATCACCTTCTTGCAGCTCTGTGTAACCTACAATATATTACTTTCCGTTTCTGTTACAGAACACTAGTTGCTGGTGGTGGTGATCTGAATCCAATATGTTCAGTTTGATTAAACCTACGCCAATGAGATAATCTACTAGGGTTGGCATGGAAGGGCAGGGCATGGCTCTTGAGTAATCTTTTTCTGATTGATCCTAGTATGTGCTTCCTTTGAACAATCAGGATAACATTATAGTGCGCTTTCAGTAGACCAACATCCCAATGCTGGTTAAAACAGCCGCACTTATCAAAACTCCCATACAATGGTGTTGTGGCAGGTGTTCTCTGGGTGGCGTGGCTGGTTCATTCCCATTGGGCCTTCAGTTTGCCTGTTGTGTGTTTTCATGTTTGGGCAGTTGTCTTTTTGTTTGTTGTTGTTAGGTTTTCTTCGGCTTGTAGCTTTCCACTCCATTTGAATGCTTTTCAATTTATGTACATTCACAAAAAAAATATCAATAACACAATGAGACCCGATTCTCTCTTTTCATATTTTATTTTTTCCCTTTAAGAACATACATTATGTAAAGCAAAATGAACTCTTGTGATGTCAAGAGACACGACATATACATAATAGATTTTGTTTAAGTTATGACCAATCTCTCCGCATGCGTGTTTTTTTATATTTTTGTTATTTATTTAAATTTATTTTAGAATTAAAAAAGATAATGGATAATTACGAAACTTTGTAAGTAATGTGCAGCACTCATGATTAAAAAAAAAGCCTCTCACACATGCGGAAGCTCATGCAAGGAGGCTAGTAGAAATTATAAGACAAAACCTGAAATGTTATGGAGTTGTGGCAAACAATTTGATATATCAAGCTAAATAAAAAGCAAATACCAAACTCTCACCCTTTATCAATAATTGATATCCTAAGTAGAAAAATTAGTATCTCAACCATCGACTTTACTCTGTTTGGGTACTCTGCAATGGCATTACAACTTGCCAACACATATTTTTTTAGATTAAATTTTATAAGCTTATATTAGTTGAAAGCAAAATAAAATACATAAATATAAATTATTTTGACGATTAATGTACATGAAAGGGCACGTACCTTAGAATCCTCATATATATATATATATATATATATATATATCTCTCTATAATAATCGGATGAACTGAGTTGTAGACATGAAAGCATAAGAACTTAACGAGATCCCCCTTGAATCAGACAAGAAAAGAGGGGGTAGGTCCCCTTGAGTTCTTAATAATCATAATTTTTTTTATAGATGTTTCAAAAACCTCCACTTTTTCTGATAATGTTTTTGAAAAATTAACTTCGTTAAGGGATTTAGAACATCTATTACTCAATAGTATCTGTCTATACTAATAGCGTGGAACCTTACTCTATTTAATCTAATAATAGTTTATTTTTTTATTTTTTATTTTTTTGAAATTGAAGTTCTATTTGCTCAATAAACTTACCTATATTTATTTTTGTTTGTCCACTACCACTATTTACGTAATAAATCTAAAAAAAATTATGATAAACTTGTAAAAAAAATTTAAACTAAAAATAGAAATTTTTTATGAACGGGATCGAGTACATATATATATATACACCTTTGAGCATCTCCAACCGATGTGTCAAAAGTGCCACATAGACATTTAACGTCTAGAAATAACATCTCACATCACTCCAACCGATCTGTCAAAACTGATGTGGAATGAAGGCTGAAGGTTGAGATATTATTTTTGACATCCCAAAAGCAAAATGTCAAATGAATATTTTATTTTTCTTTTCTTTTCTTTTCTTTTTAATTAAAAATAAATCAACACTAAAATGTAATAAAATAATAATTTAATTTGACATATTGGGTGGAGTGTAAAGCTGTGTAAGTTATCAAATTGCCACAGCCGCCATCAAAGTTAAATTTGATGTTTGGTATTTGACATTTCCCTTGGAGATGCTTTAAATGAACAAAAAATTTAAAAAATTCAAAAAATGTAAAAGGGATTGAGTAAACTCGGTTGATAGTCCTTTTAGTTTTGGCATTGGGATCGATTGTCTTTATTGTAGTTGGAGGAGAAGATGCTCCATCTCCCTCATTTCTTATTCCACCCTCTTTGGTTGATGTTTGTAAACCATGTATCCTCCTCATATCGTATGTATTGTGACTTGAACCAAGATAAGGGCCTGGTATTGTACCTGACCTCGTGGAGGGAGTTGCCTTCTGGAAGAGACCTGAACACTTGGAATAGTTTATCAGAACAAGAGCAAACTGTGGTTGATCCCAGTTGAGCCCCCTCTGATGGCTAAGTTAGAAGCTATTTGGTGGTGGAGTAATGGATGTAGGGTTTATCAGGTTGAAATATTTATTACCTCTGTCCAGAGATAGGTGAAGGGTATTTATAGGGGAAGAAGGGGAGACTAGGATACTTTTTAAGGAGAAGATATTTACTCCCCCCAACCCCCTAGTGGGACTAAATTCACATTCAATGGCCTGTCTTGATCACCATGCTATCCGAGAGGGATCAGGTGGTGAAGCAATGGCTTTGGATGAGAGCCGTACTTAATGATCCCTTTCCATCATCAAGTCGTTTACTGAGGATCGAAGGGTGAGGCGACACCTGGCTATGGATGGGAAGTGCATTAACTGATCCCCTTCATTCGCCAGAATGTCCTATCAGGCGGATGGAATGATTGACCTGACAAGGGTCCGATCAAGCCTGCACGTCATCAATGCACCTTTGGCCATACACGGCACCATCGTGGTTGGGTCGGTGTTCGAGTCCCCTAACACAGATTCTTACTTGGTGCCGTCAACTTTTGGCTGGGAGGCCTTTTATCGACCCCTGGAGCACCATATATGCTCGGGTCGGTATAGGGGTAACCCAGCCAGGAAATGACCACGTGACGGTCTGTAATTGGCTCGGCTTTTGGTGGTGGTATGATCCATCAACAATAACCCCTTAACTCTCAACTTAAGGAGCCAATCTTGGGTGGGGAGTTTGTTCAGATCTTAGTGAGCCGAGCCTTTACCGGATCGGGTGGGTAGCCCCGAAGTCCACAGCTGAGGAGGGTTCCTTTGATTTGTGGCGCCAAGTTTTGAATTTGGGGTACTCGAGTGGTGGTGATGTGTCAGTGAGCAGTTGGTTGAGCAGGCAGCGTATTAACTGATGCTGACGTTGGGGCCTGCGAGGAGTCGCATCGATTCTTGTCCCATCGCTTCGACTGATGGGTGCTGGCGTGGCTCCACGTTTGACCATCATAGCTGGGGTAGGCAGGATATAGACGGTGGGGATGCTCGGGTGAGTTGTAGAAGAGGGGGCCTATCAACGACTACTTTATCCATACCTTAAGAAAATCCAGTTTCCTTCTACATTGCTTATCAGGTATCTCTGCAACTGTAAGCATCAATACTGCACTAATTGCTTGCAACAAAATTACTATAAATCAAATCTGGTTTTTTTGTTTTTTTGTTTTGGTATTGCAATTAGTGGCCAGGGTCTTATTGTGGAGCAAAGCATGGTTGTTGCTACCCAAAGACTGGAAAACCAACCAAAGGTTTCAAAATTGGTGGCATATGGCCCTATACCTTAGCGGAAATAGGCCAACCAACTGCAAATCTAAGTGCCATTTCAGTTTGTCTAAGGTACTCTCTTCCTCATTCAAGTCATTTTGATTCATTTAGCATTTAATTAAGACACAAAGTGATGATAAGTTCTTGCTAATCTTCATGGACTTCAATTTCTGAGAGAACAAACCACAGGCCATACTTGTTGGATTCTGTTTTAAGGAAAATATTTGATTATTGTGTGCAAGTACGAACTTGTACATTCCTGTTATAAATTCCTGTCAATAATGGTTTGACATGTGTAAAACAGTAGAAATTTCTCGTTTTTTTCTTTTTTATAAATTATTTTTCTACATGTCAAATCATGATTTGAAGGAATATGTAGTTTCGGCAGGCATAATCCCTGGTTTAATTGTTGCTTCTTTCTATTAATATATTTTTTGAGTTTTAATTTGTAATTGAATAGATGTCAAACCTGACAAAGAGCTTGGGAAAAAATTGGCCATCACTTTCCTGCCCAAGTAGGAGGAGTGAGAAATTATGGAAGCATGAATGGCAGAAATATGAGACTTGTTCAGAAGAACTCTTCGGAGGCCAATATCAATACTTTCATGCAGCCCTCAACCTTTTGAAAACAGTAGACATCCTGAAGCTACTCAGCGATGCAGGTCATTCTAAATTAATATACTTCAATTAAATTGTTAGCATAGTTTTTACATTTCAAAGTTAAATGTTGGAACATATACGAACTTGACGACTCTCCCAACATTTTAACATGAAAAATGAAAAATATCACTTAACCAACGGCTAGGTGCTGCTACGTACCATGCTCCAATTTGTTAATTGACAAAAAGTAAATTTGTGGGAAAATGAATGCAGGAATTCATCCAAATGGATCATTTTACAGTGCAAGTGCAGTTTATAGTGCCATACAATCAAAAGTTACACACATGCCAGGAATAGCGTGCAACGAAGACAAAACAGGTAACAAACAACTTTACCAGTTCAGTATGTGTGGAGAAACTGCTGGAACTAAAATCGTTGACTGCCTTGGCCTCTCATCACACGGGAAGTGCTCTGAAAAAATCAAGTTCCCTTCCTTCTAATAACATGAACTGTTTCTTGTATTAAATAATAAGTAGAATGACATCAAAGGCAGAAAGTGAAAAAATTCATGTCAACTTAGATCTTGCCATGTTTCCACCAGTTATGGTCTATTAATTTACTCTTAACACACTTTGGTATACTATAGTGTGAGTATCTCAACCAAAACTAATTGGCTTTAATTCCTCGATGTGGTATTTTATGCATTGGTCGTTGGGCTCAACACGTGTATAGCCTTCTCTCATACCATATTAGAATATGAGCATCTAACTCAAAATCAATTGACAATAACCAGAGATGTCTTAGGTCTTTTAAAATATTAGGTCATGCTTTAATTCCCGAACATGGAATTCACATTCTCAAAAGAGGAAGCCTGAGTGAGAGCTACGTAAAGCTTTGTGTATCCTTATGTGTGCTTTAGGTAGGACCTGTTACTATTTGGCATGAAATAGCATGAGTAGAAAATGTCAAAGAAGACAAGAACAAGTCCATTTTGATAGTGACTTATAACCTAGACGACTGTGCAACAACTTATGTTACTAAACAAAATTACAAGTTACAACAATGGAACACAATCAAATAGAAATAAAGACATATTGTCTAATGTGTTGTCTGTATTGAGAGTATTTGCTTTTTTTTTTTTCCTTGGCAGTATTTGCTCAAAAGAGAAGCCAAAACAAAACTTAGGCCCAACCAACCAAAAAAAAAAAAAAAAAAAAAACCCAAAAATCATGACGTTGCACCAATCATATAAGCTCCAATAGATCTGCCTCCACTGCAAGATGACCAAACACCAGGCTAAACCGTGAAGGCTGGGGAAGGGAACTAGGATTTAGGACCCCCAATAAGGCCACTTTTTTTTTATGTCATTGATTATTAGTTTTGACCCTAAAAGAAATTTAAAGTAATTAAGACGGTTCGATAACAATATCTCCCTTGATTGCATGTGAAATGTAGCCAATTTGCTAGTCTAGTATAGTATTCCCTAACAAACGAGACCTTAATGTTAAAAAACTATAATTTTTAAGTTCATTTAAAAAAGTGAACCGGTTTGTCTTCATGTTTGCGTCAAGAGCTTTTTGGTTCTTTAGGCCTCTATCATTTGGACTACGTTTCAGTGACCCATGTGTTAAAAGGGTGGGTCTAAACTAAAGCACACGTCTTGGTTCAATTGACATCCAATCAACGTAAAACTTCGACCCAAAAAAGCAAAAAGAATCAATGTACATGAATTTGTTTTGGGTCGTAGTCAAAATGTTTAGGCACGCATTGGCCTCCCTCCCTCCCTCGTCCCCTCCTATTTAAAAGGAGTGAGGACCAGCTCGAAGCAACTCCAAAAGATATGTAAACGAAAAGGCAATAATAAAAGCACAATAAAGAAAAAGGTGCCTTCTTTTTTTGCTTAATTTGCACGGTTCTCTCTTCTCATGGGAAAGCTTCATGTAAAAGTTTTTTTTTTCTTTTTTTTTTTAAAAAAATTTTCAGGCGAGCTTCATGTGAAAGTTGTTTGTACTCTGACATACCCATTTGTCATATAGTTGAATTTTACAATATTATTATTTATTTATTTTTGTGCCGAAAGAAAGCCTGCAAATATTGGTGCTTGAAATTAAATTAATGGAGAGAGAGAGAGAGAGAGAGAGAGAGAGAGAGAGAGTATAAAGATGAGATTATAATTATTTGTCTTCGAATAATCTCAAACATGAAAATTGAAATGAAGCCTAATTATTTTGAAAGAGGAACTCAAGTTGTCTACATAAAAGCTAAAAGGATAAGAAGGGAAGAAGGGAAAGTACTTAACAATTTTACTATTTTGCCCTGGAGCTACAAGGTGAGTGTATGTAGCTTCCATTTGAAGGATGAAACCTGAGGTGACAATTCAAATGATCCCAGAATTTTACAGAGCCAAACGGCCCTACTCTCCACCTTGCTCTCGAATTCCCCTTCAAATTGAAACTAATTTTATCTCGCTTCAATGAAATATCTATTTGATCCATCTGCTCAGGGCTCAATGGAATCGATGAAGATTGCACCAAATAATGAAAATCCACCGAACTATTTTTCTTCACATCAAATGGCAATGCCACCAACCTGGCAATGTTCAGGCCTTGGAAGCTCAGTGTGAAGCTTGTATCCGAAAAGCTGGCATGTGCTTTCGGGTTGTCATTCTCAGCCCTCACAATAAGGGTGATTTCTGTGTCAAGAAGACCAGCCACAGAGTTTTGAAAGTTGTCCAGGTGAGCTGAGGTGACGGTGATGAAAGGCACCCTCGGATGGATGATCATGTAGCCCACGAACACAACGATCCCCGTGATGATTACGGCTATGGCAATAACAGTGCAGATAACAGCAGCAAACCAAACCAGAGGGTGTGTGGCTCTTTGGGTGGCACCATGGAAAAACTTTCCTGTCATTGAGGGCTACTGATGGTTGGTGCCCAGATAGTGACAACATAGGGCAAGAGTATTTCGGGGTTTTTTGGCGAGTTTTTATGTTGGAGGAAGATGTGGTGGTGATTTAGGGTTGTGGGGGGGCTCGGCAAGACATGGAATTAAGTTTGAGGTTGTTCCTAGTTCTTATTGGTAGGGAAGGTTTTGGTATCTTCCTTTCCTAATTTGAAAGCATTTGTTGTTTGTTGTATAAATATATTATATATCTTGTACTGTGCTGCTGTTCCATTTAGGTATCTTGCTCACTACTTTATTCTGATAAAGCAATATACCAAACTTGCATTGCTACGTACCATTCTTTCCCTTTCCCCTGTGTGGAGCTGTGCTAAACATAAAACTAAGATGTACCATCTAATAACACCAAGAATTAGATGCATATACAGAACCCGTCTATACTTTTTTGTTATCCATCAGACATTTATCTTGTCCTGGAGAATAAAGAAAACATAAATCTCTAGCTTCAAGAAGTAATTCACCTGATTGCCCTTTAGGTTTCGGCCTTTCTTCTTTTTAAGGGAACAAGAGCAATTTTCCTCAATATATTCATTAAATGAAATCCTTCTTGTGACAATTTCTTTAAATGAAAACCTTTTCCTAATTTAGCCCTCCAACTGAGGTCCTAGCTTCGACTCCCCCCATCCCGCAATATCCCTTGTATGAAAAAACCTTTTCAAATTTTCAAAACTCTCACCAAGCCCTAAAGGCTTGTTTGTTACACAGGACTATCTTGGCATGAATTATGCTTAGGGACTGTCTTGGCTTGGCTTGGTCTAAGTTGTATGATACTTATCCTACGTTTGGTGTATGCTTGGACTAGGATTAGATTTTTTTATTTTTTCAAAACTATCTATATATATGTATATATGTATAAATACATATATTATGTATGTGTATATAATATATATATATATATATATACATACATATATAATATTTATATGACATATGTGTATATACATGTATATATGTGTGTATATATGTATATTATAATATAATATAATATATATGTATACATATATTATACATATAATATATGTGCATGTAGGTGTATATATGGGTATGTTATAATAATAATATACATGTATATACGTTAGTCCAAGCCAAGCCTATGTAACAAACGACCCTTAAAGTTCTTACCTTATATAATAGCATAGAAAAATAACAAATTTGTAATTACAAAGTTTTTTGAAAGGGGTAAAATGAAAAGCATGTGTAGTAGAAACAGAAGTTTCTTCCCTATTACTTTTCCTTCCAACCATAATAACTTTAACCCTTTTTTTTACCTTACGATTGTGATTTTAGGAGTCTTTGGAACCATCTGAGGAGGAGAAGAACGCTCAAAAAATAACACAATGATTATAACTGAGAGCCAAAAATAAAAAAGATATCAAGATTCATATTCTTCTATGGTAGAAAAACGTTGCAGGGAATCATGTAGATCCAAAATCCAAAATCTGAGAGCCAAAATTCTAGGGTGGGACAACCGTATAGGTCTCTTCCTCTCCTCACATGTACCCATCACATGCTACTCACGTGATGTAGTGAATGTGAATACTCTCTGCCACATTGAAGGCTTCCTCAAGTAACACCACAGTGATTAATCCACATTATTGTTTTACTAGGGTTCAAAGCTGATTTTTGTCTCTTAAAGTTTTCCATGAGTAGAAACTTACAATCAACATTTTCAACAAATTTAAAAATTACTACGAGCAACAGTCATTACCAAAAAAAAACAAAAACAAAAACAAAAACACTGTTGAGAAAATAATACCAATCCAACAGCAATTCTTCACCATTCTGAAATCTACTATAAAAGAAATTATGTTACCAACCTCTATAAATTCAAATATTCTGTTTATATTTTATATGTTGATATTATCATTAGAATCATAACTAAACTATATGCTGTTTATATTTTATATTACCTAAACTCTAAAGTGAGGCCATAAGCACAGTATCAAGACAAAGTATAGTAGACGATCCTCTTTCTCTAATTAAAATATGAAATCTATGTTTCACTTCCATTTTTCATGCTTTTCACTCATTGTAAGACCAGCAACGAACTTTGCTACATGGATTGCCATTTTACAGACCCTGGGTTGAATCCTATAAATTCAAACACGCAATCTTTGATCACTATAGATGACTTTTCATCCACAAAAAAGATTCCATGAATGCGTATGAAACCAACTCTTAAGAGCAGGCTGCTCTGTTCCAAGAGCAAAAGAACCAAGTCTACCTAATGCTCAATTTACTCCACGGCTACCATCTCCAATAAAATATTACAGTGCCTGAAAGCAGCAGAGCTCAAACTAAACATCTTCAACCTTTAAGGAGCATACCTATTTTATCTCCGAGAGTCACAATATTGGGAAAATTCACATTGGCAAGGGCTTGCTCTGACCTGAAAAACATGAACATACTTAGTATACCTTCATAAATTTAATGACGATAGACCATGGAAAAGAATAGGGTAGTATGGATTAAGGTTGAGGTGTGGAATCATATGCACATCCAATGGAAGCTGAAGAAAATTAGTTCAGTTTATAGGTGCAACTACTTTGAACATGGGAGGAGAAATGGAAAGTGAGCTGAAGCACTATAATGCGCATGCACACAACCATATGTATGGTGAACAGAAAAGAAAACAAAAGCAGTAAAGAATGACTTAATGAATATTTCATCAAAACACAAATTGCTCCATTCTTGCAGCATTTCCAGTCATCTTAGTTTTAATAAATCACTTTGCTCAGAAACTAGTTTCTATACATAAAGCTACTGCTTGTTAGTTTGACTCACTACACACTTGACTTCTTGTGGGGAAGGCAGAAAGCGCTTGGAAAAGATTAGGATAAGATAAAAATGAATTGGTATTTGTACGGCTTCAAAGTTATTAACTTAGTTCTTAATTTCTAATCAGTAGAAGAATGGCAAACTTTTATGCTATTATGTAATGCTATGCATCCAGCGATATGCTTTATCACTGCAGATTACATACCATGGTCATAATGATGATGTAACAATAACCAAATCTTGTATGGGTAGGAAAAGTAAAAAATATTGTCTTTGTATACAGCCTCGCAGATATTATGGCTCTGTAGTTATAATGAGTACGAAAAAGGCATCACCAGAGCAATTGTATAATTATGTATTACAGGTATTATCCTATTCTTCTATTGAGAAAATTTTGTCAGCACCTGTGAGACAGTTGTTGGATTCAATACAATGCCTGTAATTTGATAGATTATTAAGAATACAGGCCGTTGCATTGAATCCCGTTTAAGCCCTAAATCATACAGCCTAAACCCCGAAACCAAAGCACGGACGGTATTCAAAACAACTTCCTACCATTCAAACCATGTGTGATCTTGTAGAGTGGGATACTCTCTAAGTGGCTTGTATATATACGAACATATATTCATTTTTCCTTTGAGCACAAGTCTTTTTAAGTTTCTGCTTTCATGCATCATTTTCCA